AAGCAGCTCTGGGCCCGGCGAACGGATCGCCGTCCGGTCCGCCGCCGCGCCGATCACACGTCAGCAGGTGTCCTAGGAGACCGCCGCCACATGGCACACCGGCGCAAACACGAGCGGGCCTGCGACGACAGACGTCCACGGAGGGAGACAGGAAGCCCGGGGCAGGGGGGGCGGGCCCCCAAGCGTGACTAGGTCACCTCCGCGCTCGTCAACAACAGTTCGCAGACACACCGCGGCGCGACGTCGCGGTCGTCGTCCAAATGCGCCAGGACTGACGCGACGGACGGGTTTGCAGCGGAGCAAAAACGTAACCAAACGGCCGGAGCCCGGCTCGGCTAGGCGGCGGCCCGGGGCAGCGCACCATCTCGACAGCGCTCACAGGAGTCGTACTCGGCTTGCGGTGCTGTTAGTTCGCGGAAGCAGTCCCTCCCCCCCCCCCCCCCCCCGCCCGCCCGGTGGAGCCTGGCCGCTGGGAGAGTCCGCTGCCGGCGGCGGCTAACACGCGCGTCAACTGGCGCCGCGACCGAGCGCGTCGGCTCCAGCTCACACGGGGAAAGGGGGATCAAACAGATGACGGTCGTCCACTTCGTCGCTGGGCGAGGCAGCCATTGCGAGACAGAGGCCACGGATTGCGCTGGGGGGGGGGGGGGGGGACTGCCACAGTTACCACGAGGGACCCAAACATTCCTGTCCAGGAGTATTTGCGAGTTGCGAGGACATTGGCAACACCAAAATGCGACCTACACACTGCATCTGCTAATTTATGAGGGGGTTGACTACCAGCCACAAGTCCATTCCAAACACACGTCGCCACTGCATCCCCGGCTGCCGCGAGTCGGCGACTCCCGGCTCTGCACGGCCGACTCTCCGAAGAAGCGGACGGCGTCCCCTCCGACCGCTTAAAACCCTAGCTGAAAGCACTGCGCGTCACACACCGACGCATCGCGTTCGGGGCGAGCCGCCGCCGCTGCACGGCAGCGCTGCCTGGCGGCGGCTGGCGGAAGCTCTGGCGGCGAGGCGGACGACACAGCCTGGCTGGCCTCATCTGAACTCGTATATCTCGGTGGAGTGACTGGGCACGTGCTGTAACCGGCCAGCGACTGGTACCTGCAACAGAGCGGGGTCGTCGGGCGGTGTTGGTCACTGTGACACAGTCCTGCACTCAAACCAAGACCATGAAGGCCTACAACAACCCCTCTCTCTTCTTTATTTTTTGAGGGGACGCGACGCATGTCCCGCCTCCTTGATGAAGCGACTGCACCGGCTATGTTAGCGCTCAGCGGGGCATGTCGCAACCAGGATTCCGAACCATCTGGAGCCGTTTGGGAAGACGAATCGAAACGGAGCTGAAACCTTGCCGCATCTTACGCCAGATGTTACGCAATGCTACAGCTTAACGCCACTGTCGCGAGATATCGAGACGCCGTGCGCTAGTTCTGCAGGGACGACCGGAATGATGGCCTCATCCAACCCCATGCCCGACACATTCACAATTTCCAACTCTCCATCACTACATCTAGCAACTGCATGTCAGTGTGCAGCACTGAGCTGCGTAGAGCTGGCCAGTCCTCCGGTCCAGGAGGGTGCACCTACATCTCGGATTTCTCGTGGTAGTAGTAGCCTTCGATCTGCGCTGACGACGTCAGGAAGCAGATGTAGTAGAAACGCCCGGCGACGAGGCCCCGTTGACTGTCATTGCACCGACCGATAGATTGTCGCCGTCAAAGCGTGCGAAGCAATTGAAGACTGCTGACCGGGTTTCATAGAGTCAAATGTTACGAGAGGGCGCAATTGGGATACACGCTGTTCTACTAGCGTGCGTAAGCGTGAACGACTCGGCTTGGCTGAAAGGGCTTGGTAATGCATTAACTACGCACAAAATACAAATGGAATGCTAAATTGAAAATGGTCTGCTCGCAACCTACAATGCGTCACCACTATGCGTGCACGCTTCCCTCTGCCACGGCCAAACAGTTCAGAGTTGGTGACCCCGTGCTTAGTTCCACGGTAGCGCATCCTCCACATGTACCACGAGCACTTAACTGGGCACAAACGGACCACACGGGAGCACTGTGCTACCGTTAGATACGAGACCAGCGGGTCACATCCGCTGGCATGAACTTGCAGCTGACGCCGCGGGCAGACCAACGAACGGAGATACCGGATACACGGGGGGGGGGGGGGCGAGGGCGGGGGAACGGGGTCCGACCAAGGCGCCGAACGGCCGCACGGGTCACCGACCCCGAGCGCCGACCGGTAGTCGAGGTCGGTGACCGCTATGGGGTCGAGGGCGAGCCGCACTGCTGGTGACGACGCACGGTAGTAGTGATAATGAGCGGCTCTGGCGGCCGTCGAGAGTCGACGAATCCCACCCAGCGGGATCACACTAGGACTCACCAGTTGGTCCAGGGGTCCTGGCGGCCCACCCACGTCATGTTCAGGGACTCTGCACCCTCACCTGATGTCAGGGATGAGGAAACTTTCCTTCCACCTCATGAACACCGAGTCGTACGCCTCTAGCGCGTCGTAGTCGAAAATCGTCCGTGTTGAACTCTTGCTGAAGGCCGAGAACGCTTCGAACTTGCCCTGGCGACGGACAGGACGGCGTCTCTCAGTCACCGTCTGCGCCTCGCCGCCCCGGCCAGCGAAGCAGTGGACAGCGAAGCAGTGACGGGCGAAGCAGTGACGGGCGAAGATGTGGCCGGAAAAGCGGTGACTAGCGAAGCATGGGCCGGCAAAGCAGCAACCAGCAAAGCAGTGACTGACAAAGCTGTGATTGGCGAAGCGGTTTCCAGCTCGTAACCGTACAGCAGCAGGTGGGACACATCAGCCAATGGGGGATGAGCTGACAGCCAGCTCATACGAAGGCATTGGCTGCAAGGCGTCTCATTCCCATATCAGTTTCAGCAGAAACTCTGTGCATGTTTTCAGATTTTTCATTTTTCGGGTACCTGCATTTGTGACACACCTCCAGTAAATCCCTGCTTCCCATTCCAAGGAAGCAGGCTTCTGGCATGCCTATACATGGGCATCGCTGTCATGACAATCCCGGGAACTTTAGGCTCATCTCCATCAATGCAGGCCCCATGTTGCCTGCCCCCCCCCCCCATCCCCACCCCAACCCCCATATTCCTCGACACATTAGCCAAAAATAAGAACAACTCAACTGCCCACAAGCATGTCTTTTCTGGGTATTATTTGATGCCAAGGCTAGATATCATGATGTTCAGTGATAACAGGGCGTGACTGTTGTCACCATGCAGATGATTCCTTACTATAAGTGATTGCAGCCTGTTGCAGTTGGGAACCCATATGGACAAGACTTAGCAATGTCTTGGAGTAGCCTTTCTTTTATGAGCTTAGCCGTGGTAAGTGCAGCGATGTTAAGCGTCCGCGAAAAATAGCATCATTAGAAACGTGAAGATGCCAGCTGGTTTGGACCCGCAAGGCCTGCCATCTCTTAACTGGAGAGGGTGGATGAGCTTGGACAAATGCAGCAAACTGCGATAGCTTTACGACTCGGTCGAGAAAAACGCAACCAACATACACGACTCATCCCGAGAAAAACCATAACCAGTATCGCCACCACGCCGCATAACACAGCCGTACGCCCAGCGACGCTGAACAAGCCTAAACGAGCCCAGCGCCTGCCGCCGGGCCCCGCGCGCTCGAGCCGGCACCGGCGGCCCCGCCGGCGGCGCGTACCCAGTGTTTCCGGTCCACCTCCTCGTTGGCGTCCCACTTGCGGGTGAGGAACGGGTGCCGCCGCCCGATGATCTCGCCGTCAAAGTACGTCACCATGGTGGGGAAGTCGTCCGTCAGGTTGTTGATCTTGAGGTAGCCGCACAGGTACGCGCTGTCCAGGTCCACCTTCTGCGCGCGGGAGGTGGCCGCCCGACGGACGGGCGTTAGTGGGCTGCGGGACCGCCACCGGGCACGGTCCACACGCGCATCGGATGGTTAAGTGCCTGTGCCAAGACACTCAACAGTGCAAGGGTCGAATCCTATTTGGACGCCCCGCAGTTCCCACCGCGACCCATTAATGCTTCATTCAAAAGATGGTGCTGACAATGACTTATTCATCCAAAATGTGGTGCAGCAGTGTTGCAACCACAAAGTAATTGCTGGGAAATACACACACAGCAATGCTTTATGTGTCATTATGATCTTTGGCTCTTAAGTATCCTGTTTAACCCCTCCCCCCCTCCTCCCCCAAAAAACACCACCAATGCGTCCACCGCAGGCTCATTCAGGTCTCCACAGGCAGCAGTGCCGTGCCGCCACCGCACGCCGCGGCGGCAGCAGCAGCGCACCTTCAGCTCCACCTCGACGTCGTAGCAGTTGCCCTTGGACTTCTGGTAGCCCTTGAAGACGGAGCCGTCGTGGAGGGGCGAGCGCACCACGCCCGGCTGGCGCGAGTTGAGCGGCGGCGGCGGTGCCTCCATGCCCTCCGAGCGCACCGGCATGGCGGCTGGGCGCTGGGCTGACGCGCTGCCGGCCCCACCGGCGGACGGTCACGTGGAGGTGACGGAGATGCGGACGGCGATGTGGAGAGGTCAGACGGTCCCAGGGGCCCGCTAGTGAGCTGGGGCGAGGTACAGGGCAGCTGTTGGAAGGGGGGGGGGCATGGAAGGGATGTCTGCAGGGGTGGGGTGACAGCTAGCAGCTGACAGACTGCCAGAGAAGGGTGCCATGTGATTGTGGAGTGATGTGATGATGTGGCAATGTGATATGATGATGTGGTGATGGTGCTGGATGCAAAAAAAATGGACAGTGTGACAGTGGTCTCACCATATGAGGTTAATACACTATTGAGTATCCACTTTTACTTAGATATTATTATATCTTTTTAATCATTGTATGGGATTATTCTATGTTAATTACATAATTTATTACTATCATTGCTACACATGATCATGTGACAGTGGTCTGCATCTTCACCATATGAAGTTCATATACTATTGACTATTTGTTTACTTGGGTAATATGTTATCTTGTTTATAACATGAAGTTATTTTATATTAGCCATACCACTTATAATATGTAGCTTGTCACCATACATGATCATTATAATATGATGCTTTGGCTGAAGGTGTGCAGAGCATGATTTGGGCTGAGCTGAATTTGGACATATTTGCCCTCCCACATGATGGGCCCTACTCACAACTACACAGTCCTGCTATTTGAGCCCTATATGCACCTATAAGGGTATGTGGGTGGTGAGCTAAGCAGTTCATACAATCGCCATGTGCATATATTCATATACAAATAGGAGCTTGAGAATTGAGATTACAGATCCCATTGCAATGTCAACTAATAGCATTAAAAACAAAAAGATAAATTTACTTTTACTGGCTACAGTTCCCATTATGGCCAGTAACATCAATGCTCTGTGCTGAACTGCATTGGTCACTAATCAAGATAACACAGGTGCATGCTGACAGTTTTCAACATGACCGCATCTAATGCAAGCAACAAGGAACTATTTCCTACCCCCACTGAGTGTGCTTAGCCTTCACAATCCCCTCACTTGGGGCAAATGCTTCAGCACCCATACCCAAGATCACAAAAAATGGATGATGAAAAAATAGCAGTACACCCAATACAAAAAAGCACCAGATGAGTAAAGTAATATGCTAATTGAGCAATACTGACATATACATGCAGTAAATATAAAACCTATGTGGGGCTGCTAAGGTGATATTTTTTGTTACACACTGATCCATTTTTTCTGTAATCCTACCAGTGTCTGTTGCCCAGCATTTTACACTACTATTACCAAGCAGTTAGGACTAATAAAGCCATAAACAGCAAAATGAGCACCAGGAAGTACCAAGGCACACCTGCCTACCATTGCAAAGACCTTGTCACAAAAGGCATGCTTGGTAATCTAGCCTGCATAGAAGCCAGACTGCAAAAAATAAGTATCATGATAAATGTGTCTGGTATAGCAGCAACATTACCACAAGTGTTTTAGTGCATGTATGCTGCAAATCTGATGGTTCCAGAGGTTGTTGCATGGCTGCTACCAGCTTTGGCAAGTGAGACAACTTTTGAGAAATTATGATGTTCCAATGTTAATATCAAGGAAATTTACTCCAAAAACACATCATCAGTTTGAAAATTCAGTGTGATTTGGGCCGGCCTGGGTTTAGCACATGCAGGTGTGAGGCTTGGTGTTCAGATGCTGTGTCTGCACCTGGCATAGTGTGTAAGACTTTGCAGTGACAAAGAAGAAGGAGCCCTAGGTAAATCACTACCAGTAGGAAATGATAACACCCAAAATTAGCATGCACTCATTATGCAAAGATTGTTACATAAATTCAATATACACATACTTTACCACATGGTACATAGAAAACAATCAATACCCACCTACAAAAAATGCTGTTAAAATCAGAGTTTTCCTTATTTCCCCTCAGATGAGCCGAGTCAAGAACACTGGGCCTGAGCTGATCGATATGATCTGATCACTGACTTATCGAGCCCACGCAAAATGGGAGACTGTTGTTGCATCCAGCTTAAGCTTGGTTTTGGATAAAGCAACTATTTTGACGCTATGCACCACCCACAGAAGCAGACACCAAAAGACGTCTGCTACAAGCTACTTCTGAAGGAATGATCGCACAGAATGTTGCAACAAAGACTTTACCGACACTGCACACGCTGCTAAATAGCACTTTCACAACTTGCTTGACTCGTTGCTCAATATCTTGCTCAACGCACTCGCAAACTGGGAGTCTGGTTGGACAAAAATATCCCTTGTTAGTTCAAGGACACAGTAGTGAACACAGTGAAATACTGTATACGTGCCCTCAGGCTTTGTGTAATGAGAAAGAAAGGTTGAGATAGTTTTTGAGAAAAATTTATCGATTTATATAAGATTTTACCATCCTTGAGCACAGAAATAAGGGCTTTATATGCTCACAAGCCCTTTTCATAATGCTCAAGTTTGACGTCATCTCGGCTTCTAGGTAGGTGACATTTTGGCGTGGGTAGCGCCACTCCTGCATTCCAGAACCAAAACAAAAACAGCCGCAGCTCCGTGGAAGAGCCGCGCGCGCGGCGGTCGAAAGCGGAAGTGAGGCTGTGTGCATGATCTGAGCTCTACAGTTTACCCACGAGCAAGTACAATCGTTGAGATGGGCTTTATAACAGTTTGGACTCGTTCGCCTGTAGTCAGCTATAGGTCAACTCTGTGCTCGAAGGGAACAATTTTTATTGGGCTGTGCAGTCTTCTGACGTTTGTTCCCCCCCTGCTCATCGCGTACAGGAGCCACGGATTTTGGTTGAAAGTTGATGCCTATCGTGAACAGCCTGACATTCCATTTCAAGCATAATGTCATGGTCATTGTTGACACTAATCATCCAGACAATTATTTGATATGGTCCACCTTCCCTTCCCTCAATGCGATGGTGAGGGAAAATGTTCGAGCGCCAATTGTCTCAAGCTTTGAAGATGACGTGAACCGTGATGGAAAAAATGACGACCTCCACTTTGATTTGGAGTTTCCCCTGGTAGATGGTGAACATGTGCATGGAATCAAGCTGCTGCTTGGATTTGATTTCAAGCTGTACACAATGGTGAGACTTCACATGGACTGCCTGGCATATGTGGCCTCCTCTTCAGCCATACCAAGTGGCAAGTTAACAGTGCTTGGCGATTTGAAGTTCCATCAGAGAGAGCCTCTCAAGCACAGGGGGCGCAATGATCTGTACAATCAAGACGTCATAATTGCTGACAGTCTGGAACCAGAAGATTATGATATTACTGCTATCCTGAGCCGATATGCTGCAAGGAATTTAACCACTCATCTTGATAACCAGTACTTTATCTGGTCACCAAATGGAGCATCTTCTTCAGCTTTCCTGCTCAGGCTCCATCTCAAGTACCCTGAGCAAACAATTATGTACACTCCTGGTGTTTGGCAAGTGTTGAAAATGGCATGGGTTCAGTACCTGGCCATTTTGGTAGTGTTTGCTATCATCATTGCTAAAGTGAAGGAGTATGTGTTCACTAATCAGCTTGTTCCAACATGGAATGACCTTTCTAATGTTACCAAGAAGTACCTGTAGAAAACTCTTCTCACATGGTTTGTGAAAAAGACTGTGATTCTGCACTGCTGTCATTAGTTTTGCCTTGTGTTTAAGTCCGCCTTGTATAAGAATTGAATGGCAGTCATCTCTTGCAATGTTTAGGATGACACTTAACAAATGTTTAACAAGGAAATATGTGATAAATGCCCACATCTCAAGTGAAAAATGGCCAGTTTAAATGTGCAAGGCTAATTGTGAGGTATAGTTAAGCTTTTTGGTGTGGTTTGTAATTCTTTCACCTGTTTTGCTTTTGGTAGTAGGATACTTGAGTTCCTGTCAGTCACTAATCAGTAAGTGGGATCAGTGCCACAATGATGGGCATATGTGATCCAAGGTGATGTTTTGTCTCAGTTGTGTCTAGTGAAGACAATCCTTGTTTTCTTTGCCAGCAGTTTGCTAGAATTATTAGTGAGTTATTGATTACCTAGTGTGTCATCATGCTGTTTTAGTTCTTACCATACCATAATGAATGCTGCCTACATTTTTCATCAGTGTGGTGATGACTCATCATTGTGTATTGTGCATGCTGCGCACAAATACATTTTTGATTTTGGGCAACGTGTCAGTTTCTCAACAACAGTTTGTGTGTCTGTTCTGGGGCCAATGTGACTGTGAACAAGAAATGACATAAGCAAGGAATAAGCAGCAGCTGTAGTGGCATTATTAGTGCCGTATTGTGCAGGCCACTGGTTAGGTCAGAAACAGTTGAAAACAGTGCCTGAACCTTGAATAAAGCATGACCATCACCCACTTACCACCCCCAGATCTCGCACTTTCCCGGATTGGCCATCTTACAAACTGGCCAAGTTGGGGGGGGGGGGAGGAGGCATGACCTCTACGGCTCATCCATCGGCCGGAGCTGGTGTAGACGCTCGCGGAGCAGGCGTCACGGTTGTGACGCGCCAGCCGATCACGCGCGACGCTCTGAGTCGGACGCGTGACTCTCTGAGTCGGACGCGTGACGCTCTGAGTCGGTCGCGTGACGCTCTGGGTCGGACGCGTGACGCTCTGAGTCGGTCCCGGTGGAAAAGACTCGCGGCACAAATAAACAGCATCGGTACCCGGTTTTCTCGCTTGCTTGAAAACCCTGTAGCATCCCGATGATACTCATCCCGATGATACTCATCCCGATGATACTCATCCCGATGATACCGATGATACTCATCCCGATGTAGCATCGCGATGAAAGCTCATCCCGATGATACACATCCCGGGCGGTCATATCTGAAGCGATTTCTGCATTGCGCGATTCCAGCAGAAGCTGAGACTGGGGCGGTCTCGGTGCTTGAGGGAGGCGCGGGCTCCGGTCCAATGTTCGGTCCTTGGAACACCGGACTGATGTTCGGAGGCCTCGGAGTCACGAGTCCTCGAAGCGATCGTCCGGTCTCGTGAGATGTGCCAAGTCGGGTCCGCAACTCGGACTCATTCAGCACACCGTGATCCGGACTCGGTCTCGGAGTCAGTTGGCTGGACTCCGCCCCAGCCCGGCAGCATCCCTGTGAAACTGAAACACAGCTTGGAATCGCGAGATCGCGCCATGATTGTTGCCCGAACGGGAGACCTACATACGTCCCGGATGACACGACAGCTGAGAGTAGCTCGATCCCCAACTTCCGCCACCATCAGCTCATGCTCCACCCAGGGAAACCGTAGGTGGTGGTGGGGGGTCGAGCCACAGTTCAGAAATGTCATTTCTGAATTTTCCTGACTGCTGATCTAGCCTGTTCTGGCCATTTCATCGCACGAATTCGATACATTTATAATCATTGGCATCAAGGCGTTTTTTTTTTGTTTTGTTTTTTGGCGCTCCGGGGAAAGCTCACGACAAGGATGTTTCTGAATCAACATACGGGAATGTGTGGACGCACGGCAAACGTGCGGCGTAGAGGTGCGAGCTAAGACAGCTACGCATTTGCCATCAACGCCACGCGATCAATGCGTCATTTCGGCGCTGCTGTCAACATGAGAAGGTGGCGCGTCACTTCTGGATTTGCATGTCGACCTGCAGTGCTCTTGCGCTTCGCAGGATTTTACCAGTCAGCTGGTCTTGAACTGTGCCCCGTTGTAAATGGACCACAGGGCTTGCGATTCGTGTAGAATTGCTGGACCCGTCTTCCCGATGAGAGTTTGGAATGTTGTACGCCTGTCAGAGAACCCCATCGGAACACAATCGGAACACCATAGAACACCATAAGTACTTAGCATGACGTCGCAATGCCGTTCTCCGTGGTGGGAGTAATGAAATGCGTTTTTTCAAAAACTTCGGAGGCGTAGGCATTGGGTGGTAAAATTCCCTCAGGAGCGTATTTCGGCCCTCAACCATTTGCTTTTGAGCCCCATGACTGTTGGGCCGTCCATGCCTACGTGCACCTAGGCGAGTAAGCCGATACCGACAGCAGCTGCCGTCGCGTCGCGTCGCTTCCGCGCCGCTACCCCCCCTCCCCCCGTGCGGCGTCAGCGTCGGTGTCGGTGACGGGGATCGTCTCCCGGCGTTGCGGCGGCACGTCTGTTATTCGCGTTGCCACGCTACAGGCGGCGCGGGCCGGCCGCCGGGCCCCCGCCGCCGCCGCCAGCCAGTAGCCAGCGACCGGCCCCCGCGTGGCACGCGCTGGCCGGGCCCGATGCGGTGAGAAGGCGGCGGAGCCGCAGCGCGGGCTCGCCCGCGCCCGCCGCCATGGGTGCCAAGAGGGCGGAGGGCGGCCCCGGCCCCATCGCCGGCGGTGGTGACATGGAGCAGCTGACGGTGAGATGAGAGGCCGGGGCGCGGATGTCCGCGGTGGCGGCGCGCTTGGCACGGCTCGTGCAGCGGAGGGCATGAGTTGTATGGGTGGTCCGTTGTTGTTGTGTGTTGGTCTCGAGACCTAGTTAGCAAGTACGGCAGTCCTGCTACTCCTTCTGTAGGACGCGGGCGCCTCGCGAGACTCTCCGCAGCGAGACCAAATCAGTACCGGCAGCCCTTGGGCCGGGGCGCAAAGTGCCTTGGCAACACTACGGCTTTGCCCGTGCCAGGAAGTGTTAGCCAATGTCAGATGCCCTGAAAAGTGCAAGGCGCGTGTCATTGCCGTTGTCACTAAACGATGGCAGTTCTGGGTCGTTGATCATAGTGTTAGTACAATACATGATGCTGGGGCTTAAAATAGCTTAAAAGAACTTATTTGCATATCCATATACGTAAACAATAGTTGAGAACATCTTACATCCTTCTTGTCACAGCTTCAACTTGTCGGTTGATTCATTTGCGTTATTCTCCGATACGCTAAAATGAACATTTAATTCTAATCAAAGGTTTGTATGCGACGGATTTGGTCCTTTAAAAAGATTTTGTT